TGGAGCATCTCTGGGGAGCGCGAACAGCATCTGCGCGGCTGCTCGCGCTCGCCGGAGACGGACGCCACGGACAGCGCCAATCGAACTCTGCCGGCGTCTGCGGCCCAGATGTTTGTCCAGTATCTGCACGGGTTGAAAGTGAATTGCTTCATTGCTCGAATCAACGCGACGGGATTATTTAATAGCTTGTAGCAAACACAACAGAAAGAGGGCAATGGATTGCAGTATTTTGTAATAATAGTTTGTTTCATAGCATTGCAAATAAGTGAACAAAACTGGGGAAGCAACCACAAAGCAGAAAGCTACTATCACAACAAAACCGCACAAAATAAACAGTCAAATGTGGATGGGTTTTTTACGATTCGGGAGCTGGAGATCAAAGAGCTGTCGTTTGTCGAAAAATTATTCTATATCTGATTCGGTATTAAACTTGGTCCTAAAAAGTGTATTGGCATCTAAATGTCTCAGGTACAAGGTTTATTTGTCCGAATCGCGGATTTTAAGTTATTACGCTTGTCGGTTTCTGATTTCCCGCCATGATTGTCAAATTTTAGACGTCCTCGTCTTTGCCTCTGCCGCCTTTCACGCCGCTCCTCTACCCTAAAAACTGGGAGTTAGTTGCGAACAAGCGTCAGATTCTGGGTTTGGCACTACAAAACGATCTTTGAGACGGCCCCTTTTTTCAAACTACCACACCTGCCAGCACAAGAAGCCATGATGCACAGTAGGGAGAACATGAAGCCCAAAAAATACAGGACTGGAGCCTCTCTTTCAAGGAACCCGCGCCAGTCAGCAATTGTCGCCTCGCGGTCGAATCCTGCAATTTGTTAAAAGATTGCTTAAAAGTAGCAGGAGAACTTTTCTGTTCACGGGATAGATTAAAATCATATCTGATCAAAAGCCGCGTCGCAACTTTTCAACCGTTGCCCCTGCCTGACCCTCATGATGGTTTTGAACTTTGCATTGCTGTTCCAAATCCCGGTGCTTCCAGGTTATCGGGGGTCGGTTATTTTAGCGGGGGTCGGTTGGCATCTTCTTTTCGTTTAGCCTATACCTGCCTAGTGATAACTTGTAGTTTATTTTAATACTGTTTTTAGTAGCTTCCGGTAATCAAAAATTATAAAAATTTTTAGCCTATAGTCACGAAATCTAGGGCTATAGCGCGGTTCTAGCCATTTTCATATACGTTAGACCGAAAAAGAAAATTTTTTTCACCACGTTTTATGACGTTTTTCTTAATGTCTCCTCCCCCGCTAACAGTCCAGAACCACTATACGCTAACAGTCTATAAAAACGGCCAGCTTTTAATTAGCCGAGCCGCACGATATTATAGAAAAAAGTTCGCAACCGACCCCCGCTAAAATAACCGACCCCCGATAACCTGGAAGCACCCAAATCCCTATCACAAAAAATGGAAAACAAGTCTTGCCTGCAAATCTCATAAAATTTTCGTGCTGCTTCCCCCCCCCCCGAACTTGTGCTCAACTACGCCCCAGCCGCCTTCTTTGCCCCTTTGCATCGAACACCCCCACTTTCGCTGTAAAAATAGGCCATCATTGGCGTCATATATAAAAGCAATAGTGTATGTGTACATTTGCATGGAACTTTTGTAAGAATGTGCCGCTCCAAGAGCCTAAGCCTTTTTTTCGGTGCTAATGCACTCACTAGGGAATGGTTTCGGGCGGACATCGGGCCTAGATATGTGAGTATGTGCATCTTGTAGATCTCGACGAGACGAATCGATTGATGTAACTTTTAGCTGCCAACGACCCTAAATAAAAGTTACACGATTTACATTTTTCTGGCATGGCTTCATAAGTTCTCCCGGGGCTAACCTGATCCAGTGGCCTATTGATGTAGTCGACAGCGTCTGGGGAATCTAACAAGGGTTCGAACCCGCTCACGATTTTTATTTTTGCTTTGTCCGGCGCTTTGTTTGCATTCTGAAGGCCGTGAATAACTTTTTGTACATTATTTATACACCAAAAACGTTCCTAGCGATAATACAGCTTCGGGCGAAAAATTAATTTTTTGATCCTGTTGGCTGGTGCCTGGCTCATGCATCGAAAATATTTTGGGAGGAGTGGTCAAAATTGTGGTCACGTTTCTTACAACGTTGTAGCGTACCCCAAGTTCCATGACAAATATTTTATTTTCTCCTGAACTAGCCTTACTATGGTTACGTTTTTTACCAATTTCCAAATTTTCGCAAAAAAATTTCGGTATTATCGCTAGGAACGTTTCTTGGTGTATAAATAATGTACAAAAAGTTATTCACGGCCTTCAGAATGCAATGAGGAAGCTTCGGACAAAAAAGCAAAAAACAAAAATCGTGAGCTGGTTCGAACCCTCGTTAGATTCCCCAGACGCTGTCTACTACACCACTAGGCCACTGGACCACGGTGACGGGGTTGCCGGGAGGGCTTATGAAGCCATGCCAGAAAAATGTAAATCGTTTTAACTTTTTTTATTTAAAGGCGTTGGCAGCTAAAAGTTACATCAATCGATTCGTCTCGTCGAGATCTACAAGATGCACATACTCACATATCTAGGTCCGATGTCCGTCCGAAACCATTCCCTAGTTAGGGGGCAGAGGAGGGCAGTCCTAAATTGATAGAAGAAAAGTACGTGTTTTCTGTACAGCCGTTTTCTCGGTCGTTCGGCCGAATTTTGGCTGGGTTTTGGCATGCAGTGATCACGCCCCGAAATCTTGGCGGTCTAAGGGCTAGACGACGCGGTGAAGCAATTTTGCTCAGTGAAGCAATTTTTTGCAAAATTCCTAATTTAAGGATTTTACCAGCAAAATAGTGCAAAACCTTTAACATTTTGGCCGAGAAAAGACTTGTGCAGAGGATATCTCGATGATCTTCCACCTCAAAAATGCTATTTCGCAAAGTGGCCTGATTGTCTGCGTCTCTCTGTGGAGGGGGGAGGCGGCTCATTGTTTCGCGCCGGCTTGCTCTGCCGCCCCCCCACCCCTAGGGTCTGCAGATACTTTCTAAGGTCATACCGCCTAGGGTATGACTTTCCCGCCAAGCTCTCCATCTCCTGTTTGGTGCATTGGTGCGGGGTTGGGACTGCCGCGCTGAGGGTCGAGGATTCGGATTCAGTACGAATTCAACGTGTTCCGCCTATTTGAAAAGCACCAAATTCCACCCTGTGCCGAAAACCGGTAAGGGATTGGTTACGTCCCGAACCCCCACTAAGCTAGCCACGGAATTAGCCCCCATTTAATCGCCTCTTAAATTCCAGTACAATTCCATTTTCACTTTATTCACGTGAAAAATATCCAGTCAGTGTTCTAGAAAAAGAGAACGGGGGGCGCTAGCTGTTAGTTGTGACCTCGTGGAAATTATTACAATTTCACAAAAAAAAATGAATGGTATATTAAGGCACCACTTATCGGAGAGGGAGGAGAGAGAGAGAGAGCGGCTGATCATCGACAGAAAGGCATAAGGCAATATGTATGGTTAGACATTTGAATTTCGAGGAAGGCACTATTTTGACCAAAAAAATATTAAAAGTGAAAAAATGCGCATAAGTGGATAGGAGGGGGCGTTGGCAACACGGTTGAGTATTTTTAAATGGACTGAAAAGCCAGAGTTTTCAAGATCTAAAGAATCCATCGATAATCTATAAAAATCCTGACTTCCCGGTCCCTTTAACGATTTTTGAGGTGGGGCTAGCAAAAAATACCTCGGGGGCGAAGTGAGCAAAATCTGAACAACAACGTCGAAAAATGGCAACCTTGTGCAAAATTAGATCTCGGGGAGGGGTCATGGAAATGCAGTGTCACTGAATACAAAAATGGGGGGAAATGTTAGAAAATGAGGAATTAGGTTAGCTTCGCCGCGTTTAGGCGCCGACGAATCGTGGCACGTACATCGTGAAGAAGAGGCCGGAGACGATTCCTGAAATTCGGGTTGAAAAAATGCACCAGGTACCGGACAGCGTGCATTAAAAATTGCCTCTATCTTAACAAAGGATGGTTGAATCAAAATGATAGCAATACCTAGCCAGGAAATATTTTTCACGTAACTTTCACGCCGTTTTGAAAACTCCTAAATTCGTAAAAAAAACATTTTCGAAATTGCCAATGTCTTGACATTTGCTAAAAAATTCCTTGTGATTTTTCTGAAATTAACACTAGTAAATAAACTCTGAAAATACACTATACAAACTCAAAAAAATTGCTAGATAAGAAAAGTCCATATAGCTCCCGCCCTCCCCTGCTAAAAGGCCGTACCCCCAAATTTTTGCAAAGAAAAACCGCCGGGGTTCATATCATTTGAAGAACATACAGTTGGGCAGAAATTCAAGGTATAACTATCATTTTGAACCAACCCTCCTATGTTACGCAACAAAATACGTCCATAATACGTCTAAAATCTCTCACCGAAAATCAAGAAGAAGGCGGCCATCATGCCGGCGATGCGGGCTCGGCTCGGGTCGACGACCCGCGGCGCGTACATCATACCGAGCGACGAGAAGTAGCCGGAGGTGAACGACATCAGGATGGCGCCCACGATGTACGTGTAGTAGGAGGGGAATCTAAAAAGAGGACATACAAAAAAAATAGAAAAAGAATACTAAAAAATACAGGTATAAAAATCAAAACTTACAAAACGGCGAGCGTGCGCTTCAGCGGGTAGTAGTTGCAGTACATGAAGAAGGGGATGAACAGCACGCGGGCCCACGTCATGATCCACAGGTATTCGTGCGATGGGAACTGGAAATTAAAATTGGATCTTTTGCATTACCGGGGGGGGCTTCTCGATATTATCGTTATTCTAATTCAAAAAGAACTATGCTTGTTTACTTTTCTACACGTAAAATGTCAAATTTCCAAAAATAAATACAAAAATCCGATTTTTGGGCTTGATCTTCCACCTCAATTTCAAATTTTTATACATTTCTCACCGTTTTCTAGCAAAGCAAGTTTAATAAATGTGACAGTAATTTTTCCGACAAATTCAAGCGGTTCATACCTGCACGTAGTTAGCCGTCAGACTGCCGAAGAAGGCAAAGATGTTGAAGAGCAGGAACACGCAGAAGTTCATGTACTGGCTTTCTAAAGAAAGAAAAATAAGTCCGTTCTTGTATGTATTTATACCCGGCAGAACGAAGTCGTAGTGCAGCTCGGTGGTGCCGTTGGGGCCCGGGACGACGGTGTGCGGGTTGATGAAGACCATCATGTTCGGGAAGATCGTCAGCGTGACGAAGAAGACGAGGAACACGTTCATGAACTGGGGCCAGCCCTGAACATAGAAAATTAGCGTTTTTATCATCTTAATCAAATTTTAAAAATCAAGTAAAACAAGCTAGAATATACCTGCTTGAGCGTCTCCAAATAGTCGTTGAAGCTGGCCGGGCCGCTGTCGTCCTTGGCGCGGTTGGCGTTGCCGAGCTCGTTGTGGTACTGGTAGTAGCGCTAAAACGGGTTTTAAATGCAATTTCCATTTTCTTACCAGCGACTTGAGCTTGAAGAAGGAGAACAGGCAGCCGATGATGGTCAACAGCGAGACGGTGAAGTAGCCGAAGGCCTGGTAGGCCTTGTTGTCGGTGACTAAAAATAAAATGCTAAAAAATGAATAAAATCTATGGTTTCCAAAGCCAAAAAAACTCATATATCGTTTTTCATAGGAAAAAAATTTTAAAAATCAGAAATATGATATTTTTCGAAAGACTAAAAAGCAGAAACTCTTTTTACACCGAAAAAACCAACCCAAAACAGCCAAAATCGCAAAAATAGCGACAAGGGTTCCGCACAGGTTGTTGCCAATCACGACGGCGTTGGTGTACTTGAAGGGGAAGTCAGACGCGAGCCCGTAGATCGAGTTCTGGTAGATGCCGTTGGCGCCGTTCAGCACCGCGATCGAGATCATCGTCAGCCAGAAGAAGCCGGGGATCCCTGAACATAAAATTATCAATATTTCATTGAAAACTTTGTAAAAACTATATAATCCATTAGCATTAACAAAATAGTTTATTATTATAAACTCACACGCTGCCGTATCGATGAAGACGAAGAGGTCCGTGAACGCGACGACGGCGCCGACGATTGTTAGTGAGATGGTGATTCTGGGGGTTAGTTCGCCTCTGAAAAAAAGGTATTTGAAACGTGGATCGTTTAGAAAAAATGTTTGACACCTTTTTACGATTTCTAAACGCAAAAACTTTGGAAATGTATACTAAAACATAAAAACATCGATATTTGACGGAATGCAGAAAACACAGGCGGACCCCCGTCCGCGGGTCAACATTTTAGCAAACATCCCCCGAACACGCCATATAAATACGAGGAGCTTAGCAGTAAAAAAAACTATGAAAGAAAGAAAACAAAATAAAAACAGAGCCAATATACTTTAATACGTTTATTGGGGGGAAATACTTTATGTGAAGACTATTTGGTTACTGTTTTAGTAATATACTCTTTCATTAGACTGTTCTACACTCTCCTCTTATTTCAACCAGGATCTAACAATAGTTCATTATCCTCGTCTTTTTTCGGGCTTTTTCTCTATTTGTTTATGCGTATCACTATCCATATACTACTTTAAACAAAGCCAATGTACTTGAACACGTTTATTCGGTAAATACTTTTATGAAAAGATTTGGCTACTAGTTATCGCTATCAATATGTTACTTTCTTGAGCGGGGAAATGTTTTAGTTTATTAGTTTTTTCTTGTCTTTATGCTTTATGTCTTCAGTTTCAGTTGAAGTTTTGTTGAGGACCGGCAAGTTTTAGGTTGACGTTCGGAAACTGACTATTTCACCGGTAACTTGCAAAACAAACTATAAAAGCCTGAAAAAGAGCATAGTGATAGATCTGCTTGCAAATAAAGAAAGTTATTACAGATTAAGCAAGGTTTACAAAGATGAAGCTGGCGCCTTCTGAAGAATCGTTGTCGAATCCGTCGATTAAGGCCCTGAAGTAGCAGAAATACTAGCTAAAACTTGTGAGCGCAACTAAACATTTAACTTAATTGTTTTCTTTTATCAATTATACAGGGCTATAAAAATCAAACTCGAAAAAAGACGAGGATAATGAACTATTGTCAGATCCTGGTTGAAATAAGAGGAGAGTGAGTGTAGAACAGTCTAATGAAAGAGTATATTACTAAAACAGTAACCAAATAGTCTTCACATAAAGTATTTCCCCCCAATAAACGTTTTAAAGTATATTGGCTCTGTTTTTATTTTGTTTTCTTTCTTTCATAGTTTTTTTTACTGCTAAGCTCCTTGTATTTATATGGCGTGTTCGGGGGATGTTTGCTAAAATGTTGACCCGCGGACGGGGGTCCGCCTGTGTTTTCTGCATGCCGTCGATATTTGCACCAAAAATTCAAATTTTTAGACATTTTCTGAGTTTTCTAGGTTTTAAAGTCTTTTAGAAATTAAAAGAAAGGGTTTTTACCGCCGCTGAACGTAAAAATTTCCTACATAGAATAGAAAAATATCGAATTTTCGACCTCGATGCAATCCGAACAAACACGATTCGCTCTAACTTTTCAAATCTTTGGGCGCTTCTATGTTTTCTAAAAACATACAAACATGTACAAAAAACTGTACAAAAAAACGCGACAAAACGTCTTTCTCTTTCATTTCGGAGCCTTCCGAGTTTTCCGAGCCGATGATGCCAAGCCTCCTGGTTCCAAAAACTCACTTGACGGGGACGAAGATGTTGATGAGGTTGAGGATGAGGTTGGGCAGTTGGGAGAAGATGCCGAGGAAGTACATGAAGTTCAGCGAGTACCAGTTCTTACCGCCCTCGCCGATCATCTTGTAGTTGACAAAGTACTAAAATTGCACGGCAATTCAAGGGAACGGCAGCAATAGCATACCGAGTCGGCGATGGTGATGAACATGTTCCACGGCATGAGCGTGCCGATTCCATGGAAGAGCACGATCAGGTAGACGAGGTTGTTCTTGTCGACCGGGGCGCTCTCATGTTTCAGGAAGGGCTCCACTTCTCTGTCTGAAAAGTGAAATGTTATTTTCAATTTATAGGGGCGGTTTTAACTATTATATTCGCCAATTCCAGGCGCAGTTTTAACTTTATGAAACCGCCGGTTTCTAAACAACAAATCTTTCGTTCTGGACGTTAGAATTCCCGTAATTCATTTTCTTTAAAAAAAATGTTCTTTTTAAACTCTAGCGGTGGTTTTAACTATTAAAAACCTAAGTTCCCATACCTTAACCTGGACCTCACAAGTCCAGTAATATTGGTGCTGCCCTAGCCAAAATAAAAGTAATTTCAGAACGTCGCGACGACTGAACGATTTTGGAGAATTGTTGGGGCGTTGTGCGAGACCGCGCTATCGTGATAATTGATGGGATCGGGAGGATCTCCGATGAAAAAGGGCAGAGAGACTCGCGGAAGCCTTCATCCTTTAAAAAAAAATGTTACGTCTAAAGTTGCGGCTTTCAAATAACAGCGTTTTGTAGGGTCTAGGGGTTTGCAAGCAAAATAAAGAGCAGCGCCATGATACCAGGAATTAGTCGTTAGAAAAACCAGCGTTGTCGCGCCTAGGTCCTTTTCTAAAGCAAATTAAGAGCAGTGCTATGGTTATAAGAATCAAATTTCTGGCGTGAAGTCCTCTTAAAAGCAAGAAAAACTGACGTTTCTCATCCTCCTCCTCATTGCGTCTCCCGGCTTGAGGGAGACGGCGCCTCCGACGTCGGCCATGGTGTTAGCTGGAAAAAGGATCATATTAAATGGAAATCAGGCAAAAACTCATAGAAAAAGAAGACAGCCTTTCTAAATATAGGATATCAGATACCAATAGAGAAAAAGATATTGCAATTGATAGCCCTGGTAGGACATGGAATTATCGAAAAAGAATCCAACCGGAAAGCCGAAAATTGTCCGAAGTTTCACAAAAAACCGCAAAGAGGTCATCAAAATGTAATTTTACTATCGAGATTTCTAGACTATAAAATAGGGATAGTGACCAGCATTAAAAACGAAACGATATTTTCAAATCTGAGACTTTGTGCTCGAAAACTAGCGATAAAGCGGCATGTCAATCCGCCACCGGTCGTAAACGTCAAGGAAAAGCCGAACGGTGGGCGGAATAAATCAATTCAGTCCGGGTTTATAAGGTTTTTTTACTGTCTCCAGAAACCGAAGCGGGAAATCATGGACAAAATCAAGTTCTTCCTCTTTTCCGCATCGTCAAAATGCAACAAAAATGTCACCTGAATTGGGGTAGAGAAAGCCGATAAAACTCTGTAAGTATAGTACTTAAGTAGCATATGATGTATCTTCAAGAAAAGTGAAATTGATTCAGTGCTAAAACGGGGTCTATCAGCGAAAAATCTGGAAGATGGAGCTGATGGCCGAGGGTGATATCAAAGCGACAGTGTAAAGAGGGCTTACGTGGGCTGAGAGATGGTTAGCATCAAATTGTTCGGAAGACTTTATGGACCCATCGGCCTCTTTGAAATTTAGCAAATGTAGCAACATTCATGTCGCACTAGTTCAAAGCGCTCAGTAATCAACCCAAACTTTAGTAAAATTATAGCAGTTTAGGGTGAGTTTGGCTATTTATTTATTGCTGAGTCTTTTAAAATCTAGCTTTAAGTTTTTAGAAAAAAAAGAACTGGGACCGGAATAAGAACAAGATCGTGGTGAGGTGTGGGTTTTGACCGTCGGGAGCCGGGCAACATTGATAAGAGGGCAGAAGGGAGGCCCTAGCGATGGGTGAACGAGGTTTATGGCTTGGGAGCATGGGACAGGGGCCGGCTATTTCGAGGTATCTGGAGTTTAATAAGCTTTACAGTTTGGCAAAAGATACCAAAAAACTATCTAAGCCCAGGCATAGCTTAGGCTTATCTTAGGCTTAGCTTAGTCATAGCTTAAGCATATGCTTAGCATAGTCTTAGGGTAGGCTTTGCTTAGGCTTAGCTTAGACTTAAACTTGGGCTTTTCGTATGGGGGATTCAAAAGCTAGTGAGGGTCCACCGGCCAGCCAACCCTTTATACCATACCACATTACTCACAAGGGCCGTCGTCGTGGACATGGCCCCCGTCCAGCTCCTCCTCCTGCTCTGCCTCACGGCGTCTTAGGCCTTACTTGGAGCGCGCACGGGGGATCGGGAGGGACTGGGCTAGGCCACGCCCCCTTTTGGTCCCCAAAATGTATGGGAAAAGCTTTCTAGAGGCTATACTTTTTTTCGCAACACTATTAGAAATGTTCCGCCTAGCGATCGATAGAGAAGACTCTAGGGAACATTTTAGTCAAAGAATTTGGGCGATCGCCGGGAAAAATAAGGACTTGAAACGTTTTGAAGCAAAAACCAAGATGATTTTCTGATTCGGCCTCCGGGCCGCCCCATCTGTTTAATTTCTGGCTCGGAATTCGGCTAAAGATTTGTTGTTGGTGCCTTTCAGAAACTTGTGCAAAAAAAGCAAAACGGTGTCGCGTCTTTATGCGAGGGGAGGAATCGAACCAGAACTCTGGCGCCTGTCACTCCGACCGCCGCCTTAGACCAATAGGCCATGTCCCGTCCCACCCCCCGTGCGCGCGCTCTAAGACACCGTGGCCTAGACAC